GCGGCTCGGACATGTTAACAACGGCTTAAACAGTTTTAACAGGATAACAGTGACAGAGGACACAGATATGGGAAGTGAGGAAGCCCCTACTGTATCAAATTGACAGAGGAATAACAGAGAGTTGGCCATTCTAAGGTAAAAACCCAGTGCATACAGCGTTCATGTTTTTTTTGTTTGTTTTTTTTCATCCAGATGGCTTCTCACGCCCCCCCTGCAATGGCACGGCGCCCCCCCTAGGGGGCGTGCCCCACAGTTTGGGAACCTCTGCTGTAGATGATGAGGAGCAGGCATGGAGGAGGACAGATTTATCAAACCTTTTTGTCAAACTTTTTTCATTTCCTCTTTTTAATTTTTTTTATCCCTGTTGTCTCATCACTAACTCTGTTCAGTCACAATAGAAATAACTTTGCTGATTTTAATTCTCTTTCATTAAATTTACACAAAAAAGAGTCAATCATCTGCTCCTCAGTGCATCTCAACTCATATTATGAAATAAAGAGCTGTAGTAATGGTGAGATTAGGGAAAATCGGAAACCAGAGGTGGTCACTAACTCTCTGATGATTTTGGTTTGTTGTTAATAGGGAGATGAACAGCTAGCTCAAACATGATGTTTTTATTGGCTGTTAGTAGAGACACACAGAGAAAATGGCAGCTCATCATAAATGGGTTGTTTTATGCTCAACAGTCCTTCACTACTGATTGGATGTTTGGCAGCTAAAAATCTGGATGCCACACATAAGTTCTACCAGGCTGCAAAGCCTCTGTGGTGTGGATTTTGTTACTGAGAGAGGAAGATTATATTAAAATTACTTACAAAAAAAAAATAAGTTTAATGTGTTTTCTTTGAAAGAAAAAGAAAAGAAGACAGTGAGCCCTAATCTGTCTTATACAGGAGTAAAGGAGATAATGTAACTGTTGTAGCTATGGAAGTAGAAAATCATGACAGCAAGAGAAATTTGCAACTTTCATCTGTATTTTAGAAATTGTTACATTTCAAATATTCTAAATATTATATTATACCCCCCCCGCCGTATCCAGTGCACCGCCAGGGTTTCCCCCAGTGTATTATAAACCTGGCGGGTCACCAGACTTTACTAGACCCCCCACCAGCCTAAATGTTGTTTATTTTATTTTAATACATCAGTAACAGTGACAGCAAAGTTGGGTTAAGCTAGGTTTAGATATAATCAAATGTAAAAATAAAAGATAATGGCATTTGACATACAAAACTTACAGAAGGGCTAGTTTTATTTAGTGCAGTGCTACATTTATATCTTTGTTGTTGATGTTTTAGTTCTCAAATTTCAGAATTTTTAACCTATAAAAACACTGGGGCAACTGGTGGACTTCCTTAGCATCCCTACCACTGGGCTAAGCTAGTCTTCTGGGGGAAACCTTGGCACTGCAGAAGTCCTTTGGGAGTCGCATCTACCCTAGGTTGAATCACGGTGTCCACTTTTGTTCCCCAACCCGTCAAGGGAACCATCAGCACTCCCCAGAGATCCATTCAGCAACTGAGATGTGCCTTTGGACCAGCCCCTGCACATCACTTCAATGTACTTTGAGACTGATCAACTCATAGTAAAGTTACATTCCCCTTATGTGCTGTTCACACAAATTTAGTGTGAACAGCACATAATCCTCAAGTTATAGTAAAAATGATGGGACATTTTTACTATAACTTTGAGGCTGTGATAACTTAGTTAAATCTTAATTAAATTAGACATTGTCTTTTTTGTCTTTTTGTCTTAATGCTTCTCACTTATGAGTTGTTGATTGTATGCTGTGCAATTCAGACGATCTTCTCTTGTGAAAGTTGCCATGTGTTGGAACGATGGTATCCAAGAAAGGGTTTGAATAACATGCAGAAGCAGGTTTTTCTTCTCCCTCCTCTTCTCTCGCTCTCTTTTCCTTTTCCTCTCACACAGTTATCCAGTTGTCATACAGTAAAGAGCCCAGAAGCCACATTTTCATTTGTCTAGCTTTAAAGCTAGGCCTGCCCACATGCTCAGGTTTTTTATGGTTCTTTGTCTAAAGAAGCGTTTTCTGTCCGGGTCTGGACATCATCTCCATGTGACATCAGCCCCTCTCGGCCTCCCCTGTTTCCTCTTCCTTGACTTTCTCTCTGCTGGAGTTATGTTGGTCTGTGATGAATTGTGACTTTCTGCATTGTTGTCTTCAGATATTCTACTATTGTATTGTATTGTATGATTTAATTGAAGACTTAATTAGTCAGTTAGTCTTGAAGCTTTTTTTAGTATTCCGTTTGATTTAATCATAATTTGCAAACTCTTTCATTTGATCTTTATTCTTTTTCTTTTGCTTAGCAGTTACACATAATTAGAAAATTAAAGAAAGTAGGTACACTGTAAAACATTTGACGGAGGTGTTGATACTAGAGGAATAAAATGTTAATCTTCTTTGCTCATTGTTTTTCCTCTAGTCTCCCGAATCCAGAGTTCCGCATGTACACAGTGGAAACCACACAGAGAACAACCAGTCGGCATTCAACTTCAGACATATCTAGAGTTTTATTCAGACAATTAAATGCATAAAAACAAAACAGATCAGCATCACACCCAAATCATCAAGAAGTCCAAACCACAAAACAGACATTAATTACCTGAGAAAAGTAGAAAAATGAACAAAATGCAAAAATAAGAGAAAACGCAAAGGCGCCTTTGGGAATTGCTTGTGCAGCTGTAAATGAAGCAATTCGGTTTGCTGATGTGAAGTGGAGACTTTTATTAAGAGGTGTAGTCCTAATTTTAATATATGCATTGAAGGTGTGTCCTCTCCTTCTAAACTTCTAAGCAGTTTCAAATTACTTGGATAGGATGTGGGACACCTATTCAAAACCAAAGAGAAAGAGAGAGGAAAGGTCACTCTGAAAACAGGATCTTCTCATGCCAGTTACATCTGGAGTCTTCTCCCAGTTCCTCCCTTTCTATGCATTTGAACAAAGACCCTAATTACCAGAAAGAGATTTATTTTTCACCTAGACCTTACTCGTTTCCTGCCCAAGCGATTCATCGAAAAACAGATTCCTGCTTTAACCTAAAGTGACATGGAGATTTCAAGTGGGTAGAACACAGCTGTCACTTTGGATATAAGAATTGACACTTCCCAAAAACTCTTTTACAATATGCCTGAAATATTTATTACTAAAACATTAGTTTCCTAATCCTTTGGATTATAATAACCTAACATTCATCCAAATTAATATGAGTTAGACACTAACTAGTGCTGATAATATAAAGCTACAAATTAGACTATTCTCAATCAGAACATGCTGTTAATAACTAAAAGAAATATTCTAATGAATTAGATTATAATTTTAAAAGCATTATGTATTACTATCATCTTTAGCCAGCAATTCCATAATACCCCAAATACTAGTTTTGTTTTCTGAAGATTTTAGTGTTTTTCTTACCTCATAGAAAACACCAAAGAATTTGACCTACACAAGTTATCTCTCCCATCCTGTTTTTCCCCATTACTTTTGTTTTTGTGAACTGCCTAGCACAGCACATCCGTTTCCTCTGGTAGGAGAAGACATTCTCTACTGAAGGCCCTTTTTCAAAACCGTTTGTGGTTTTATGTAAGTTAAGAAAATCAGTCGTTATTTTAAATTTAATCATTATCCAAATCTAAATAAATTAAAATCTACTCAAAATACTCATGCTCTAATATTTCACATGCAGTAAGGTTAACTGTTTCTAAAATTAGTATAATCAAACTTATGTCCCCAACAGTGGTTTAACTTGAAAACTAAAGTCCACCTCCTGCGCTGAAAATGCTACTTAGTTCAACAGGAAAATTGTATTGGTTTTAACTCAGAAATTAAAGTTCATGAAGTTGATTTAGCAACAAGAGACAAGCTGCATAAACATTGTTTTAAGCTCATTAATCTTGAATTGTGAGTTTTAACTTAATGTTGCAATTTAAACCAAATAATTATTTCACAATATGCAAGAAAAAGCTGCCCTCATCTAGTTAGACAGCACACACTTCTCCATTATTTTTACCTACCATCAAGTTAAAATATATTAAAATAATATACTTACTTTACTTTAAGCAATTTAAATTCTTGTTTCAAATTATATGAACAAAATTTCTGATTTGATAATGAATTTTATTAAACATCACAATGATTTCTGCTCAAAAACATTTAGTGCAAACAGGACAGTATCTTCAGACTTCACAAACTGTCAGATACATTTGAATAAACATTTCCTTGATGACACAAGAGTCAGATCAATGTAACACACTTCCATCTCACTCACAGTGCAACACAGGATACAAAATTATGCTGCTAAGCACTCTGGGAAATAGTTCCCACTCCTGACTTTTTCTTCTTTTGCAAACCTAAAAACTCTAGTTTATTAAACTCTTTGAGGATGTGACAAAATTAATAAAAAAGTTAACACAACTTATTGTAAGTTTATCTTTCACAACAAACATATTTCAAAAACTTGCTAAATTTATTTGACTAAAGAGTAGAAGATAATAGATACAACTAAATGCAGCTCAAATGTTTTACAGTTCAGTGTTTTCTGTGTTTAGCCCTGTTCCTGTCCTGTCTTCCCTGTTGATTGTCCCCAGGTGTGTCTAGTTACCTGATTACCCTCCCTGTGTATTTAAACCCACCTGTTGTCCTTGTCGGGTCCTCGTCTTTGTCAGCGTCAGTCTGTCAGTCGTCTCAGTAGAACTGGTTAAGTCCTGTGTCAGCTCTCGTTTTTCAGTCCTCTATCAGTTGCTACCGGTGTGCTATTCTCTCTGCTGTGCCGCCTGCATTGAACTGTTTTGTGCTTCTCCTTATTAAATAATCATCTTCATCATCATCTGGGTCTCAGCATTCATCCTCACCACCACCAACCACACCCCATGACAACAGTGTGTTGATTTTTACTATAATGTTGAGCTATTTTGTTAAGAAATTCTCAGACCAACTGGAATGAAGTGTGTGTGATCATTTTGATGTGTGTGAGGCGTATCTGCTCATCTGGTAGAGGTGAATTCATTCTGGCATGAGACTTGCCCGTTTGGATAATCATCGCTTTCAACTATAGAAACTCTAACTTTATTAATAATTTCATTAATAAGGAATTATTAATTACAATTATTAATAATTACACAAGCTAAAGATTAATTCCGAACAACTAGCACTAACTTGACACTTGAAATCATCATTCCGAATATTATTTTTCAAGACGTCAGCAGCACCTTCCTTCCACCACATTCATGTTCAAAGTGTCTCCCATACTATACTATATGTGACCTTCTAACACATATCCCTTCATTGTGTAATTCTTCATGAACACATTTAGAGTGTGTCAGAGCTTACCTTGGTATATTGTCATCAACTGTTGCACATCCATAGAGAAACACAATGACCCCCACTAGTGATGCAGGAATAAGCATCTGGGTATACAGGCCCAACCAGGCAAAGTAAAGGCCAATCTTCTCACCAAAATATTTCCTACATGACAGAAAGGAGAAACAATTTTATTTAGTGACCTTTTACATATTTATGTAAAAAGTCACTAAATAAAAATATAAAAGTGGTCGTTGCATTACAACAGTTGAACACAAGTCTCATTGGGTCATGTTTTGTTTCCATAGTCCTCAAACTTCAATAACAACAACAACCAAAAAAGTCAATATATGTGAATTATTAGATTTTCCTGCTTACTTGGAAAGCCACCCAGTCAAATGGAATTAGTTGGTAACAAATGTGCTTTTTATTCTTTCACTGATATGACAAGGAAAATCTCAACATAACAATAGTCAAGTTTATTTGTACAGTACATTTCAGCAGAACTGCCTTTCTGCTAAAAGCAACTCTAATTGCTTCTAGAATTTATTTTCAATATGGGGATTTATTGTATAAAATAAGGATCAGAGAAAAACATAATGATGACATTCTGAGATAATTTTATGAAAATGTAGTTGGATCTGTAATGTGCAGCAATAAAATACTTGTGTTGCATGAACCAGGATGATAATGTTTGAAAATCAGTCGTAATTAGCTTCCAGTGTTTCCAAAACAGAGACAGTTTAAAAGTAGCATGGTCAAAAGTCAAAGAAAACAACAGTGACAGACTTTTCTCCAACATGCTGATGGAATAGAAAGAACTAAAAAAATCCTCCAGGACTTTTTCTTTAATTGCCATCGGAATGACATGTTAATACAACCTGAATTGAAAACATTAGTCTCTTAACTCATTGTGTTTGTTCATCCTAATGTGAAGGGTGGCATTATTTTATAAATGTTACCACTCACAATAAAACCATAACCAACTCTGCTCAGGGTGTTTTGCGTTATTTACAGATTTTGAAAGTGTGGATTCGAAGCTTTACAATAATAGACAACACATGGAAATCAAAAATGTTCTTTGTTACAACTGTTCTGTGCACTAATAACGTTTTAGGTCTACTACTAATTATGAAGCATTGTTTGGCAAAAACAAACATTTTCTATAAGCCAGTAGGTAGTTCAACATAAAGAATTTTATTTTAGGTGTTAAGATGCAGTTAGTCAGCGTGGGGCACAGTGCTGCTCACTGCCTCGTCAGCGTCATATCACACTCAGCACAGCCACAGATCTAGATCTACATGTCAGTCACATGCTATGTGTCCTAATAGTGTTGAAAGATAAAAGTTCTGCAACTGACCCTCAGAATCTATCCACCGATATCTTCAGATTTCAACATGGCTCCTCTCTTAACCCTTGAAATACAACAAGTCAACGAGTTTTGCCTTGACTCTTTTCATTCCTGTTAGAGAAATCTTTTCATCTGCCATGGCAACCATTCAAGCTGTGAATGAAAAGATTTCTCTAACAGGAATGAAAAGAGTCAAGGCAAAACTCCAGATATATTTTGATAAGGGAATAACATTATGTAAAACTCAAAAAAGTTGATTTTACATAATACTGCCCCTTCAACTTTTGAAGTAAACAAAGTAATAACCCATGAATGGTTTCAAGCTGACTTGCCTCACACTGACTGATGAGCTGAAATTGTTAAAAAAAAAAATTAATAAACTAGTATATGTTATATTATGTTTGCCATAAAAGATAATGTGTTTTGTGGCAAAAATATGTTATTCTACATTGTCAGATGGTCCAAATGGAAGAGATACTGTTCAACAAAGATAAAGTGAACAACTGATTTTAAATGCTTCTTTCCTCTTTCTTTAGAGTTGTTTCCTTTCCTTTTATAATATAAAATATCTTTGACCACTGACTTTGTTTGTATTCAATTCCAGTGCAGTAGCTAAAAACCTGAAAAACAAAATGTTTGCTTACCGAACAAGTCCAATGGGCTGGTACTTATAAAAGACACTGTAGTTTGCCCACTCCTCGTACAAAAGCTGTTGAGATATTACAAGAATTAGTTGTGTTATTGTAAAATATTTGCCAGGCTTTTCTCTCATTGTGTTTGTCACAAATTTATCACTGTCTTCTCCATTATGGTTCATTGTTTTTATATTATCTGTGAAAAAATAACCACTCCAGACTCCTGAGCAAATAAGTCTCATTTATTCAGTGGGAGACTCAGAAACTTTANAAAGGTCACTCTGAAAACAGGATCTTCTCATGCCAGTTACATCTGGAGTCTTCTCCCAGTTCCTCCCTTTCTATGCATTTGAACAAAGACCCTAGTTGCCAGAAAGAGATTTATTTTTCACCTAGACCTTGCTCGTTTTCCTGCCTGAGTGATTCCATAATATCCCAAATACTAGTTTTGTTTTTCTCAAGATTTTAGTGTTTTTCTTACCTCATAGAAAATACCAAAGAATTTGACCTAGTACGTAAACAGACAGAAGTTATCTCTCCCATCCTGTTTTTCCCCATTATTTTTGTTTTGTTTTTGTGAACTGCCTAGCACAGCACATCCTTTTCCTCTGATAGGAGAAGACATTCTCTACTGAAGGCCCTTTTTCAAAACTGTTTGTGATTTTATGTAAGTTAAGAAAATCAGTTATTTTAAATTGAATGATTATCAAAATATACCTAATTTAAAATCTACTCAAAATATTCATGTTCTATCCAATATTTCACATGCACCAAGGTTAACTGTTGCTAAAATTATATATTTACACTCTTGTCATAGAATTTAAAACTACTTTCACCCCTGGTTGTCATGGTAATTGATTGTCAGTTTGCAATCACCACTTTATAACTCCTTAAATGTCTTTGTCCTGGTTTGATGAATGTGTTTGTGTTTTTACTTACAGACTGAATGTTCAGTGTTAAAGGAGACTTCATTAAGTACAGAAGCCAAACCATCAGGACCGGCTAAAGTCACCATCACTAAAGTGTTTGACTTTGCTGGAGAGGAAGTGAGGTCAGTGTGTGAATCATGCTGCTGTTATGAGACAAATAACAGGTTCTATTTCATCCCTACTAACCGACAGAGGCGGTGCTTCAAGCACTGAATGATCATTCTTGTGCATGCGCAGGTTGAGTACTAATGACAACAAAGTCACCTGTGACTTGCCGGGAACCCACGTGACTCTATATAGTCACATGGCACCCGGCGTTCAATCCCTTTTATTCTTCTCGCGCGCATGTGTGTTGAGTACAGGCATGTGGTCAAGTGAAGCTGGTTGCTTCTGTGTGTACCACTGTTGTCCTAGCTGCTTGTTGCTGGTAGCCCTGTGACCGAGTTCGGTCGGAGCTGCGAGTAAGTGTCGCCTTCCAGGGGCTGCACAAGCTGTTTACACCTTTACCAGATGTGCGGTCGCCTCTGCAATGACTGGTAAGTTTTGCTCTTTTCTCAACACTTTGATTTGCCACATTAATTGTTGTGGATCTTTTGACTCACCGGTGGTGTTTCTGCTCGCGCCGAGTTGATCTTCCTTTGTTGTCGTTTTATCTGACTCACTTGTAGCATTTGTGATCGCGCTGAGTTCTTCTATAGTTTTGTTTATCTAAACTCACCAGTGGTGTTTTTGCTTGCGCTGAGTTCATCTTACTTTGTTGTTAATTATCTGACTCACCAGTGTCGTCTCTGCTCGTGCTGAGTTCATCTTTTGGTTAATTATCGGACTCGCTGGTGGCGTTTATGCTTACCCTGAGTTTGTAGCCTCTGCAGGGGTTTTCCTACAACGGAGTCGCCAGTGGCGTTTTCTGCTCGTGTTGACTTCTTGTTGGTGGCGGGCTAATCACTCCTTTCAGTGGTATGATGCTGGATAATTTATGCTGCTCGACCTGTCTGGCTCTGCTTCAGCCCGACGACGGGCATGACTTGTGTCTCTCCTGTCTCGGTGTGAAACATCTCCGGGAGGCGCTGTCGGATAACGCTTGCCCCAACTGTTGCGTCATGCCCCAGTCGGTCAGACTGGATCGGTTGGCTGCACTTGAGCAGCCTTCTGACTGGGCTGGCGCTGCGCTGCATAGTCTGTTGCTGCCGGGACAGATGATGTGCAAATGGCCTACTGTGGCTACACCTTCGGTGCCAGCGAAGCGAGCCAGACGGACTGATGCATGGAGGTTGTCCACAAGAGTGGATCACCTCACTACTGAGCTGGCCCAAATGAAGGCCCTCCTCCAGTCATTTCAGGCTGATGGTGATTGCGGTGACCCTTCCCGAGCGGGATGAAACATCAGTCAATGATGACGATGTTATTTCGGTGGCGGCCTCTGGCACCCATTTCTGTGAGGTCCTTCCAGAGCTGGGCTCTGGGGCCTCTGGGTCCGACTCCATTGCCTCCCAGAAGGATACAGGGGAGTCTGTGATGGCCGCCGTTCGAACGACTCTTGCCCGTTTATAGATTGGTGTTCCTCAGGCCCACCCTGCAGCTTCCAGTGCATTCTTTAGGCGCAGTAGATCAGAGGCTGCCTTTGTGGTTCCTCCCTCGGAGGAGTATATATGGAATCTACATGCTTGCTGGTCAGACACCAAGGCACTTTCACATCTGACAACGGATGGCAGGGTCCTGGCAGCCATGCAGGAGGCACCCAGGGTTGGCTTGGGGCAGATGCCAGCGGTGGAACCGGGCATTGCCTCTCTTATTATCCCACCTGATGAGGCTTTGCGGCCCAATGCACGTTGTCCACGGCCTCAGTGCCGTATTACTGATGACCTTCTCTGCAAGGCGATTCTGGGTCCCGCATGGGCCGGATTGGGAACTGTCTCTCCCATCTTATGCTGTCTTCCTCCTTGGAATCTGTTCCACTGGACCACCCCACGCAAGACCTGGTTGATGCATCTCTGCAGGCCTTTGCTCTCATGACAAGGGAGCTTGGATGCACACTCTCCATCCCGGTGCATGCTCGCCGCCAGGTCTGGTTGGCGCAGTCCCCACTTACTGAGCCTTGTAGTTGAACCCTCCAGGCCCTGCCTGTAGTTCCGGGGGAACTTCTCGGCTCTGCAGTACTTGAAGCCTTGGACCGTACAGCTCAGGCCTCTCGAATAAGGCAACAGCTGGCAGGGCTTCACAGATGTGATCGCCAACCAGTTGGCACTTGGGCAGCTGCAGGTCCTTCACGGAGGTCCTCGTGCCCATCTCCTTCTTCCATTGAGCCTCAAGGTCTGGTGCCAGGTCATCTCACCCCTTTCGAGCTGCACAGTCTGTCTGGTGTCCTCCCAGGCCTTCAAAGGGCCATGGGGCCCGCAGATTGCCAGTGGTCAGCTATTTTACCCCGGGACAGCTCGGCTTCTGGGCTGCCTGCACCTGGACTTGTGGGTGTTGTCCAACCGTCCCTGGCCGGGTCAAGATGACTGTGATCTGCGACCCGGTGAAGGCACAGGCACTGAACCAAGAAACCTGCACCTTGCTGGCCAAGGGAGCTATAGTGCCTGTTGACCCCCTGCTGGATCCAGGGGGCTTTTATTCCATATATTTTCTGGTTCCGCAGAAGAACGGGGGTCTACATCCAGACCTCAGGGGCCTGAATGTGTACTTGAAGGTCATGCCTTTTCGTATGCTGACCACCAAGGATTGGTTCACTTCCATAGATCTCAGGGATGCTTATTTTCTTGTTCCAATCGCTCCGCCCCATTGGCGGTTTCTTCATTTGTTTTGCCTTTCAGGGGAGGCACTTCCAGTTCAGGGTCCTCCCGTTCGGACTTTCACTGTCTCCTAGGGTGTTCACCTGCAGAGCCGAGTGTTCGTGCCTGCAGAGCCCTCTCTCCTCTGCAGGCATGAGGATTAAGGATCCTTCTTTATCTGGATGACTGGCTCATTTGTGCTGCGACACGGGACCAGGCGGTTTGAGACACTCGGTTCGTGCTCCATCATGTGGGATGCTTGGGCTTGCAGGTGAACATAGAGAAAAGAAGTCTGACTCCCTCACAGGAGACCATCTTCCTGGGCATTGCCATGAATTCCATCTCAATGACTGCTTGCCCGTCACCCCAGGGGGTTAACAATATATTGAGCATGCTCCCAGAATTCAGGCGCAGCATGGCACTGCCTCTGGTGCAGTATCTTTGACTTCTGGGCATGTTTACAGCTGCATCCGCCGTAGTGCCCTTGGGGCTGGTGTCATTGTGGCCTCTCCAGATGTGGGGTACCACGTCAAGGAAACTGTTGTGCTCGACTCAACGGCTTCTGACCTGGGTAGCTCTGCACTTGGCCAGCTTCAGAGCAGCCTACATCCCGGGGTCACAGAACATGCCAACAGATTTTCTATTCCGTCAGAAGCCGCTCCCAGGAGAGTGGAAGCTTCACCAAGAGGTAGTGGAGCGCATCTGGAAAGTCTTTAGCAGGGCGGACGTGGATCTCTTTGCCTCAAGGGACACATTTCACTGTCCCCTTTGGTTCTCCTTGGACAACAGCATCCCTCTGGGATACGATGTGCTGGCACATGACTGGCCCTGGACCCTCCTTTATGCCTTTCCACCATTCAGCTACTTTTTCAGACTCTCCTGAGGGTTTGTAAGGAGGGGCACAGGGTTCTGCTGGTGGCCTCCTTCTGGCCAGCGAGGACTTGGTTTCCTCTACTGCGTGAGCTCAGCTCCGGCTCGCCAATGCGTTTCCCCTCCAGGAGGGATCTTATTTCCTAGATGGGGGGTCGGATTTTGTGCCCCAAACTGGACCGGCTCCTGCTCTGGATTTAGCTCCTGCAAGGCTGGGGCCCACTTTTTCAAGACACACTAGGTCAGTAGGGCGTACAATGGCTAATGCATGGGCGCCATCCACGCGAGTTGTCTATGCTAACAAGTGGGCGGCCTTTGCGACCTGGTGCCATGATAAAGGGCATGACCCGGTGCAGTGTTCAGTCTCTGACATACTGACCTTCCTGCAGGCATTACTGGATCGGGGACGGTCTCCATTTACCTTAAAAGTGTATGTGGCTGCCATTTCCTGTTGGCATGTCGGGCTGAATGGTTGTTTGGTGGGCTGAGACAAGGACATTGTACTGTTTTTGAGAGGTGCTCGTCATTTGCACCCACCCAACCTCCCTGTGGCACCGGCATGGGATCTTTCTCTGGTGCTTGAGGCTGTTCGGTCCCTCCCATTTGAGCCCCTGGCATCTGCGGACCTCAAATGGCTCTCACTGAAGACAGCATTCCTTTTGGCGATGGTTTCCTCAAAGCATGTGGGGGAATTGCAGGCTCTCTCGAAAGCCGAGCCCTGCAGCTGGTGGAATCCTGATGGCTCAGGTGTTGCACTGTGGCCTGATGTGGTATTTATTCCTAAAGTGTCACTGGCAGCAGGCAGTACCCAGCCGCTCCATCTTGCCCGGTTTGACACCGGATGCTCCTCCTGACGGCTCAGTTTGAAGTTTCAGGTTTTGGTATTGAACCTCCTAGAATCTCAGCTGCTGCAGATTGTCTGAAGATGCAGAGAAAAGTACAAATAGACAGTTAGTCTACAGCTATGTTGATTTTCCTGAACAGCTGATGCACTGACAGACCTGACTGTGACAGAACATTACTGAACCTGAAAATTACTTGAATAATCACAATGCATGTAGAAATTTTTCTTTTTATGTTGATCAAATGTTTTACATTAAATGTTTTGCTGTGAAGGCTATGTTTGCAGTGGTGCTTTAAATAAATGCATAAAATATTTATTTTCTTATGTATGTCTTTATTAGCTCTTAATTGTGTAATAATATCAATCAAGAAAGAAATTTACTGCTTGTGAAAATCTAAACCATCTGAAAACATTTTACCATCTACATTAATCAACTTGAAATGAAGACAAACAGGAACAGCAGGTTTGTCCTGGTTTGCAGACGAGGTATATATTTGTTTAAGGGCCGATGAAATGGGGTCCAGACACAAACACAGTTTAATCTGAAGATTCTGGAGGATGTGTGAATAGGTCTGTTACCATGAAAAAAAATTACTGTATGATAAGTTGTTCCAAAGTTCTCAACAAACAATAATAT